GCAGTGCATAAAAGCCCTGCCTCGTACATCTATCAGTATTCGGACTATTTTGCTTTCCTTTTTCAGTTAGTATTTTTTACGTAAGCTACAATTCAGAACTTACCAGGGATCCAGGCAGCAGGACGGCTAGCTGTTGTTGGCTGCATGTACTAATGATACTGTTAATGTTCAGTGGCCAAGTGATCCATGAAAGTCAAGTGGGCTTCAGAATTTTAGCCACCTTACATATACATATACTATCTTCATGAGAGAAGTAAAACTTCGTGACAACACGATAACGTCTTCAGGGGCATCTCAAATAGAGGCAAGTGGCCATAAAAGGTGACCCCTTAGACCGTTGACTAGAATCTTATTCCCTTAACGAATGATTCCGTGCCAGCCATATGCTATGCATAACTGCCATTGAAATAGTCGTATCTTGATTGCCAGAGCCAATGTTTGCAGCGATTCCCAAACTCAAATTATCTCTCACATCATCATCATATTATATCTAGCGTCGAGTGGACATACTAAGGGAATACGGGATGACTGAACGTGGTGCACCGATACGTTGGAAGCACCCCGAGTGGCCAAAGCGGCGGTAAAAAGTTCAACATTAGATTTCCGTATTTGAAGGTCGGCTAAACCTGGATATAAAATTAAATGCATGCAGCTGGCAGAAAAGCAGCTATTCAAATTCCGTTCTTTCTGCACAACTAAGTCTATTTATGTGAATGCTCTCTATCGAAGCAGAATACAAGGAAAGAAAAACTTCCACATCAAATACAATTAAGAGCGCACATCTCACGGCAATTTCTTCGGCAGTTTATTGAGTCGAACGCCTCTCTTTATCAGTACAGTTTACTACGTCTATCGTGGTCTAGTCCCATTACGTAGTCCCTCGTACATTCCAAGGGTGAAAATACACCGGCTGAGAAGCGCAACAGTAGTACACGGACGCTCTTTGCACGTACCATGCATTTCGCGACTCTTCTTTTGACGTCCACAAAACGCCCAACCAACCCGTGTGCACACCGTCCATACCAAACACAGTTTTTTTTTCTTCGTTTCGCTTACACATGTACATGCATTTAGACGTATACATCCATATACGTCTATTATGCTATGCACGTCTGTGCTTTTCCATCGGCGGAACAAGTGAGCAAGCGGACGTTGGATAGGAAAGAGATAGCCGATGTCTTCAAGGATCTAAGGGCGCGTTGCGTGGCGCTTATTGGAACCGCGCGCGAGTGTTGTCCTCTCGGAATGTCATATCCCAATGCTGCCATTAGTATTAGGGGCGCACCTACTGCAATTGCTTATAGCTAGCCTGACTGCGTTAGCTAGGGGTCGACGGCCGGCAGTGTCATGGGTTATTGTAGCTGCTCGTCAGTCTGACCCAGTGATAAAACACACCTAGTCAGAGGGTTGTTGCATTGTACATGCCTATTTTGTCTTCTGCCGGCACCGCCTGGCCCAAACCACTTAGAACTTCCCGTTCTTCTGCGGGACAGGTACGCCATACGTACGAGGTTAGTAGCTCTACTGTCATAGATAGTCTGCTGTAGACGGTCTCTGCTGTCATACCAGAGGACACCGCTGTCCGCAAAGGTACGCAATCAAAAGGGCTGAGAGGTAAAATAGACAACCAGGTAAAAAGGATTTACGCAGCCTGCTTGTAGATACAGTTGATGAACTTCCTCAGGCATGAAACATTTTGTAGGCTTGGTCCTTACCTATGGGCTACAGCAGCAGTTGTAGACATCGGGTCAGCCTGACCAGCTAGCTTCTCCTGATGCCGCGCTGGCGAGGCTCCGAACACCTGTTCATGAATACCAAGTCCTGCTGCTGTCTCCTGCGATTCCCTGTTGAATCGAGCAAAGAAGAGCACAGCTGAATACTGAAATCAGCCACACCGGAAAACTGCGGTCTCTCAAAACCAGCTCAAGTCTGTGTTTGCGTTCTAGTATTAGCCAGTATAGTGATAGCAACGTAGTAACCTGCCGCATCGTCTCCCTTAGATATTATTCCTGCTTCTTAACTCTATCTACCGCAGGTCTGAGAGTTCAACCTAGCTGTATCAGTGCTACATTGACAGGGCTCGTCGCAGATATTATACTATCATGTGATGTATTTGCACCGAACAAAGCCTCTTACTGTTAGATGATATAGTTTTACCATGCGGGCATATCCTGTGCTTATGCAATGTGGGACATCAGTGGCATGAACAGTGGTAAGGTCCGGGTTTAGCGCACTTCTGTCGGACTAAATGAGGGCGCATTGGTACCACTCGCAGCCGACTGCATCATGCCCATAAAAGAATCGGAGATGAGCCCATCGTAACAGCCCAGCCCATGGAAGGTTTCAGTCGGAAAAGGGAGCAGCTTTTACACGTCTTGACTGAAAAGACTGGTTTCCGACCCGGACTGTTGCACTTCGAATAATAAACGATTCACTGAAGTTCGCAAGTGAGTTCAAAAGTTCCGAAAAACAGGTTACGAGGATCCTTTTCCTTAAAGTTCGTTAGAAAGAAAATGTTCATCTCCGTGATGGATGCTAAATGAGAGGACAATGAGAACAACTATATCGCAACTGACTGGTCGAGATTTAGAAACTACTTTACTCAAAATATGAATACTTTAAAAGATAAAATTATAAAAAAGAATATTAATTGAACCGAGGCTAGCTGCCATTATATTGCTTTTGACAATTCGGTTTCTTACATTGTTTTTATACCAATAAGGCCTTTTTAGACGAACGCAAAAATAAAAAATTGACACAAATATCAATTTTTATTTGAGCCTCGATAGTAATAAAAATTACCTGAATTTCAATGTAGCCTTTTAGAACTAACGTACAGCTTGAGACACACCCATACACTATGTCTTTGTTTTATTTCATTACATTCGTAAGTATTACTATTATTACTTAATTGTTTAAATTCTTAATATTAAAATCGGGATTGATACTAATAGGCTGAGTAAAACCACGGGAAGGCCCTATGAAATGTCATTTGTTACGGTAGCATATGCACACGTAGGAAATGTGTGGCACTTGGAAGTATTTAAGCTCGCTAAGAGCCTCAGTTAAGATAATCCTACAATGTCTATGCATGCTGGCTCCTGATGCCGTGTTTCATATCCATCAACTTGAGTGTCCGAGGGCCGTAGCACATCCATTTAGTTGCCTTCGTACATTTCCCGTATGGAACGCTAGTCATTTTCAGCAATGTTAAGCGCATCTAATAAAATATGCTCGCGGCAAATGGTTTCCGTTCGTAAATTTCTATTTGCGTCCTTACGTAAGCTATGGTGTTAAAGAAACTTGACAAGATATCGCAACCGTAGGACCTATATAGATTACTGTAATCAGTTCTTTCGAACACAGTCATTAGTATATAAGAAATTTAAGTGAAAAGGTGGGGTCTTTAGGTCAATGTTGTATTCGTGTTTATATTGCGGAATTTATCGTAAAATTTATTTAGACGGATATTGCATTTGAACCAGATAAAACAATAGCTTTCTGAGTATGTAATAGCATACTAACGCCAGTTATCTATCTAGTTTCGTCTTTCACAAAAATTAAACTTGACCCATAATGTCCTTTTTTCGTAGCATTTTCTCAACTCAATCACTTTAACTATACGCCTAGTTCTAAATATATCCGCTGAAGGGCGCATACATCTCTATTTATTTACTAAATACATCTTACAGAAAACAGTTTTAGTAAACCTCAGTTCCGATCTACCCTTCTTTAGCCAATAATAAATCGCTCATACACGAAACTTATCCCCTTTGTGTACATTCGTTTGCATTGAAAGTTGTTAACAAATATGTAACTTCCAGTTACGATGAAAACGTCTCTCTCATTTATCCCAAATTTTCTCTTTCCCTATTTCTTGCGTCCGTACTCTCCTTTCCATTTTTTCGTTCATAAACCTAATTTATTTTCCTTTGCCACTTCTTCGCGCTCCAGTGATTTGAAAGTCGGTTTCATTCCCTTTCTATTTTGTCTTCTCTTCTCCAATGCGCCAAGTCTAAGTTTGAGTCTAACAGTGCCGATAATATTGAGTTAGAAATGGCGTTGTTATCAAAGTGGTCTTCGGCGGCAGAGGTTCAATGGGGAGGTGATAGTCTCTGGGAAAGACTACGGCGGACGTTGAACGGAAAGAACCGTTGAAAGAGGACTTCCAGTTACTCGCCTGCCTGGGGGAAAAACCGAGAACTTGCGCAGACCATCCGGAAGAGAAACCGTTAGTTGCCTTGGGGCGTTGTCGAAGTAACAGTGCAAGCTCAGAGAACGAAGAAAAAGACTGTGCTACTCGTCGTGCCACAGAAACTGCTCTAGTGAAGAGCGCCGCCGCTGACGAAAAGCACAAATGGCCTAAAAATTATGGCGTTTTCGGCAGTGGCCGTCAGCGCGTCCGCAGGAAAGCAAGAGAGATGGCAGGAGTGAAGACCAGAGATCTACGTTGAAAAAGGCCGTCCGTCCATTCGACCAGCCACACAGACTGCGTCCGATACCATAGGACCAGTGCCATCATTAGTTTTTAGGTTTATCGATGCACATGTTCTTCGTTGTTCCGCTGCTGCAACTGGTCTCTGGATCGTAGTTAAGCTTTCTGAATTTTTCTCAAAAAAAAAAATAAAAAATAACGAACATAGCATCCAGGGGAAGAAGAGTGGGCCGAAGGACTTTTCCCGAGACAAATGTGCTTGCTCGTTGATCGCGGGGAGATGGAGTGAGAAGGAATGCTGCGAATGAATTATAGCATAATTTTTCTCGTATATCGATTTAGGCGAAAAAACTGAGATATTTTTATAGTCGTCAACTTACTTTTATACTTTTCAATACTAAGCACTTGCTAGAGCTCCAGTGTCGGTCTGTCCGTCAATACTGAGTTAGCGGTCACAGGTATTAACATGTAGATATAATGTTTATTTTTATGTCAACACTAATAAGTATGCTCATTGATAAGGCCGCTAATACAAATCACCGTACCGAATGAGTGTATCATTTATTTCAAGATGTATCCATTGCTATAAACGCTCGCTTGGCCTTCTATTTCCGTAACAAGCACGCTTTGATCTTTTGTGTGCTTCTTCTACTATCCGCCTTCAAACTGGCCTTTGTATATTTTTCAAGGAGGACCTCTGCTATAACACGCAGAGTCACTGTAGCCGACTACTAAAGTAAGAATTGTTCATTTTTTTTTCGAAACTCGTGCCTTGTTTCGTCTCCTACGGTGAATATCATAGTATTGCGAGACAGCCGGACCCGTAATTTCGTCATAAGTCGTTTCAGTCATAGTCAGTTGGCTTGAGCTGCCGCAGAGTTACCTTAGAAAAGTGGTGGAAGAGGATTTTTTTAGACTTCTCCACTGTTCTGGTAGGCCTTGGAAGGGGGAGAAGCCTGTCTGCCACGGTTTGCAAGGTTCCAAATGAGAACTGTTTGGCGACTGCCTAGACGGTTCCGGTTAACACTGGATACCGCCAGCCGGAGGAGAAGTGCTAGCTATCTAGGAACAGTAAAACTGCGACAGCAGGGTTAGGGAATAAGGGAGGAGAAAGAGTGAATAACGAAGTGGCCTCGAGATTTTGCTACAGAAAGCGGAAATTTATGACACAGCAGGCTCAGAAGCCTACAAAGGCAAGACAATGGCAAACCAGCGGTAGGCACGGTCAAAATAACGGAAAAACCAACATTACTGCAACCATCGTGCCAATGATGGGGCAAGCGAGGCATCGGACTACACAGGGGCAATTCTGTATTTTGGAAAAACATTTCGCAGGCGGCTACGTCAGAAGGGTGGCGGTTTTTCTTTAACGAAAGGATGCTTGCCAGAAGCTTCCGGCGTTTGCGCTTGCACGGCACCCTTGTGCAGCCCTACAGTCGGAAGGGCTAAGTTCAAGTGTTGTTTCCTTTCCCTGCTAGTAGTTTCATAGCCATTGCTGCTCTTAGTTCCCTGTATCGCTGTCGATGCGTGCGAATGTATATGTGAAAACGCTCTCAACGCTGTACCTGACTCAATGCAACTGGACGAAATGTCCTCGTTTGGTACCTGCCGCTTAACCTGACCCCGATGTAGCTAGGGAGTAGCTATTTGTAAATCTGCTATCTTTCTCACCTGAAAGAATTAGCAAGGAAAAAGGATGTTATTCGTGGAAAAGGAGAACAAAGGGCAGAAAGGAAATAGCGAGAAGGTTGTACGGAAAAGTCCGAGAGAGGAAAACCCAGCGGTATCGCGAGGCGCACACGCATATCCAAAACAAAAGCAACGGACTACGAGTGTAAGCGCATATGTGAGTTCAGGGTGCGTATGCTCGAATACGAATTTTCGTAGGTGTGTCATTTTTTACCGAACTACTATTGCGGTCATTGTGTCAAAGGGCCGTGTCTGTCATGGCAAAGCGCGCATTCGATACAGCGGTTATATACCTATTTGGCATTGTTCTATATTGTGGGGCGTATCTGGGAACGCTCAGGCCTTTTGATGTAGGTTGGGGTACACAATGTAAATTGCTACTTTAACTCACCGTCCACCGATTTAATGCATTAAATGTGTTAAGATTAATGCGATGATTGTATGCTATCACGATCGTGAAGCCAGCCCCCTGGAGCTTTAGAATCTTGTCCTGTACAGGCACAAGCTTTCGCCAAATGCTCATGCCTTCTGGCACCGTTTATCATAGGATGCGCTTTCAACGCATGCTCTGTATCATGTTTCCTTGTGGTACATAATGTATACTACATGTAACATTTCTATTGTTCGTGTAGCTGGTATTCCTCGGGGCTTGTCATTGGGTTGACCTTTAACCTGCTGACACAGCCTTACTGCGTGCGTCGCACACGCTCTCAGAACTCGTTCATGTTAAATGCACTAGAGTTTGTAAGCATACTGAAAACACAGATTCTAGGCATGGCTTTCCCCGTACTAACTTGACTGGTTCTATTGTTTCTTATACTTTTACTACTTATACCCAAAAATGCAGTTAACATGTGAATTAATTCGGGAGCGCAGCATGGCCCGTGCTGCCAATAGTGTAAACAATCGAGCTTTTTAGGGTGCTTGAAGGATGCCAGCGCTGCGGTGACGACTTCAATACGACCGTCGTTCATAGTATTTTTTTTCTTTTTACTTCTACTTTTTACACTTTTTTTTTTCCTCTACTTTTTTTAAAAACTTCTTACGAGTTCATGTTGGCCAAACCGTTTGCAACAATGATGGTAAGGCCAAGTATAAGAAAAACGACCACATTATATGGCACCTGTATGAAGATGTACATAATACTAGAACGCGTCGAGTGCATGAATACGAATCTATTTAATTTAGCAATGGGGTTACGCGCTCCCGAACGACGTTTCACGGTTTCTGGCATGAACGTTAGTAGCTGCGACCGATGATAGTATTTCCTCCACTTCTCCTTTAGGTAAGCTCCTCGCTTTAACTGTTATAAAGACAACGCGCGATTTCAGCGTCTCCGTCATAAGATGCATCCAATACTCGAAATGCAATTGCCGAACGAAATACGAATCGGATCTGCTATGCAGGCTACCGAAGTCAGGCTTTACCTCTGACATACATCCCAACGTTGACAAATATACGCGAAGTGCAGCCCTCGTAAGCCTAATGCGACTCTTGCAATATTTACGTGTAGGAGTCCGCAGTAGAAATAACATTAGGATTTACTCTAAGGTTTACTTCAGTAAGATTTATTTCGAAATCATATTTCGTCTGCGTTGTGAGTGTGCCTTACGCAAAAATTAATCTATGTATGGCAAACCAGAAACGTCTCTGGCTCAATTTCGAATCGCAAACAGGTTTTACCAGCCTCGAGCTAAGAATCTACTGAGACATTCAAGATATTAATTGCCGTCTGTAGATAAAGGCATTGTCAAGGCTATCATCAGTGTAAGCACCGAAAGAACACCAAAAAAGGTGAGAGCTTCCATTGCTCGGATAAGGGAATATGTTAAATATATGATAATGTATAACGTCAGAGCCGTACAGCCCACACAAATACTTAGATTATTGACATAAATTGCTTTCTATTAGGAACTTAGCCCGACATGGTATAATTTCTGAAACAATTAAAAGATCTGTAATAGAGCTTGTTATTGTTCCAAATCAGGAATATTATACAATGTACTATCATGTAGCACAATACAGGCGCATAGATGGCAGAACTGAATTTATTCACTTTGAAAGTTATTGTGACAAAAACGGAGCCGTCATATGCTGAGTAAAAATTGCAAATTGGCTATAGTTCGTTAGTAGGAACTTCCTTAAGGAAAAAAAAAGGACAAAAAAAGACATCTACTTCTGACTTGGTAGAGCCACTACATTTGGCGCATAGACAGTAAGGTGTTTACGTCAGTCAATGGTTTACCGAAAAGCTCTGATAGAACGAACCCGCTAAACGTCCTAATTTGGTCAAGTCTCTGTGCCAGTGAGGTCTTCGGCTATATTCGAATTTCGCATTTTCAAATCACTCGGGCCTTTTTGCCTATTCGTACATAGGTGACGTTCACTTAGTTTTAATAGGTAAAAAAAATTTTCGCCGTAAATTTTATATTGAAATATATTTCTTAGATTGAAAGGTAAGTTCCCTTTTAAGCAGGTCAGTGCATTAAAACTATAAACGACTGCCGCTATCATGCACGTTCTACTCTCTGTTGTGTTCGATGTTCCTGAAACTGATGGTAAGTTCCCGTTACCGCAATTCTCCAAAAACACATCGCTGTATATTTGGAAATTTTGTTAGAAGATACCTTATCTACAATCGTGAGCTCGCATAGCGACAGTTGTTTTTATAGGTAGTCAGAACAGATGCACGCAAAAAGCTATCTTCCTTCTAAACCCGAAGGAGCCTTGTGATAGAAGTTTGCTATTTTTTAGATTTTGTTTGGATATTCTGAGTTTATATGGCTGTAATACTATTTACGGTTTATCAGTAAAGTCATCCTTGTCTGTTACACTGAGCTATAAACTATCCTCCTTTAATTAACATGAGAGTCGTAAATAAACGAATGATCCGACATACGTACAACTTCATATAATGTATTAATTGTATAAGATTATACCTATTGATCCACTTAACACAGCACAAAAGGCCTATAAAAAAAAAGGTTTGCCGAGCAGAATCTTGAGACGGCATTACCTCTTTGTTAGCTTAGACAAACAAAGCAATATTAAGATTTTTTTTTCTGGTAACAGTTAAAATAATACAAAACAAAGGTAATATCATGATTTTTGTGACGGAAATATACCTGTACCCAATACTGCAACACTGATACGCGATAACAACGATGATTAAAGCAAAAAATATGTTCTGTAACTTTTCCAGCCAGCAGTATTCGCGATGTGGCATCGGGCTACGGGCGCAAGTTTTATGTCATCGCAGAAATCGAACAGCTAAGCGATGTTTCGGACTCGCATTTCGCCATCTTATCTCTCGAAAACTTTAAGCAAAAGGAGAACTTCGCCGACCACGTGGCCGTATGTGTTTGAATAAGGCACGAGTAGTTCGTCTAATGATACAGCCTATTGCAATTTTGTTACCTGCTCAGGAACGTATCAACGAATAAATCGGATATAATCGATGTCACCGAGTTAGAGCGTACCGAGTGTACCACAGTGTACGTACATATAAATAGCTATAAGAAAATAGGAACACATGATACGCAAGAGGCGAGCTGACAAGCGGGAAGGACTGGTCATCCTGTGATGACTGAAGATGTGCTTGATCCGAAGTGAGTTCGTGTCATACCCACACATAGTCACCGAACTAGAACTAGACATCGGTAAATACAAACGAGTACAATTGTTTTTTCTTATCCATTCAATTTTAACCATTTCTGATTTAGCAAATGCTGGAAAAATATGAAACAATAATGACAATCGAGAGTACTTTGGAAATAATTTCACTAGTTTGCATTGTCGGTGGTGAGCTGCTTTATTAGAAGTGATAGCTTCATAAATATGTGACGTTCTTGAAGACCTTCAAGTAGTCTACTGTGACTGATCTTCCTATAAAACGATACCTTGAAGTATCTGCAATGATGAGATCTACTCAAGGACTTCGGAAGAACAAAACGAAAGAATTTTTTCATTAACATAAACGGGAGCTGATTTCGCTGGCTCGCCTCTCGGGGCCGCAATAACACTTCGGCTCTGAAAATATTACCCAAAAAAAATCTCAAATGCTTGTAGGGACAGCGACGTTATTTGTTTGATCTACTCTGTATCAGGCTAATTAGGGTAATAACTTGGTGTGTCTGACAAGCAGGCTCAATGTATTATAGAACAGAAAATCTAATTACTACCAGGCAGAATACTTTCGAACTATTGCGCTTCATTGTACCTCAATAAAGGTGTGCACAGCCCAGCAAGCTCTAAACGCATGACAACTTTCTCGATTAGCCTTCATTATAACAGCTTTATACGTCCCGTTTTTATTGTGATTGCGCAACCTCGCGACGTTGTTTCTTATTGCTAGGCTTTAGGTTACCTTTGTAGGTTGTTTATACGGGTAAACATTTCACTACAGAAACATCCATTATTAATAACATACATGAACTCTGGCTGTATGTGCTATAGCGAGGCAAACTCCAATGTGATTACATGTACAGCCAACTTCATCAAAGGCCATTTTCTGGCAACGAATGGATTTTACACTGATAAAAATTGTTGGCTAGATAAAAGCATGAAATCCAAAAATCAGGAACAGGGAAGTGCTGATTTTGGACAACCTCAGGCTAGAAATGAAGTGACAGATCAGCCGATTAACAGAAATACAGTTACACAAAAATCTCCAGTACTGGTTCCGTTGAGACTTTCGTCTCTTGCAAAGCTGTACTCTTAACTGAAACTAAATGCCCAGCAAGTCCGCTCCGTTTGTGTATTTGCTTCGTATACATAGCTTTCTTGCAACACAAAATGGGCAAAAACCTGTAATTCATATTGAAGTAAATGTAAACATGTCAAGCCTCTATTCATGCTAACAAGACGTTTTTTTTTTCTAAACTGTACCGTACAGGCTTGAAAATGAGATATTGGGGTATTACTATTGGGGTATTGAGAGCGTGTACGGTATTTGCTATGTGAAGGGATGCCCGAGTACCGCACTGTAAAACCCAGATCGGATGCAGAAAATCCAGCCAGATCGGGTGTATCTTAATAACAGCTAAATAGCTGTTTGTGCTTAAACAGCTTGACTCGATTGTTATAGCAACGTCATTAAAAAGTTGTGCTTTGAATTAAATAAAATTGTTTAGAAACGTTCAGTAGTTCACTATGGTTGTTGAACACGGATCTACGACTTAACCATAAATAATCCTATGCTAAAATCCGTATATATGTCTGCTTAGTTGAAACGAATTTGGCTTATTTTTTTACGAGTCAACACATTGCGTAAGGTTGACGACAATTCCCTATTTCGCTCATGTGTTTCGAGCCGGCTTTCATATAGAAGCTATTCTCGCCTGTAGTCACTGCTACAAGCTAACGCTCGGCCTAATCGACAAGAATAGCAAAAAAAAGAAAATAATAATAAATAAAAAATAAAAAAAAACAATTCGAAAGTCGTAAATCAGCGTCGAACATCGATTTATTTGTATGAACAAAGCACAACCCTAATGTTTCAGTCTTCGTTGTTTTCAACTAGGAAGTTAATAAACGATCTGGCTTATAATAAATGCATTTCCATCCTGCGCTAGCCCTAGCCTGTAGAGATCTCGTACATTTTTGCCTTAGAACAGGGCAGCTTGTCTGCATTTCGTTGATGTCAGCCGGTATCTTTTGTACCTGTGTCCTTATCAATCACCTCTGAATAGAAGTTCACCCTGTCGCGATTACCCGTATTATTGTAGTTCGATTTCAATCTAGCAAACAACGGGTCATCGATCCGGATCTGATGAAACTTCAGATCGGCTATAAATCCACTGTTTCGTATCGTTATACCACACGAATAACGACAAGTTCGATTTGGTGACAACATGGAAGGGACTCTGGGGATTCATAGAGTAGAAAGGCACCATTTCTTAGAGTTTAATATTTTGTTTGACGCTATATCTTTTACACAGCCTCAGTACACTCACCGAGCGCGTAATGGTAGTGGCGATAAATGTTTATGTATCTGTTCAATAATATATGCATCTGTATTTGTTATCAGGTCACAATTGTACGCAAGTATTTCGGATAGCAATGTATGTGCCGCGTGAGAAGGTCTACGAGTGCATTCGAGAGATTTTTAGCCGTCTATATTGCTGCCAAATTTAACAGCTGTTGAAGGATAACTGTTCTGATTACTGATAAAAATTGGCGCTTATCGACACGGCATTGTTTGCAGGGATCAGGATGTTCACCTAGTGCGTTATTATGTGCCTTGAAACTTAATTGCCTCGTCGGTCGTACTAGGTTGTGTTTGAGGTAATATAGGTATGTTTGCGGAGCCTCCGTGGTGGTTTACTGGGTAACGCGTCTGCCTGCTAATCTTTTAGGGACACGTTGTGGTCCAGGTTCGAACCGAGCAGACTTCGTTTCGGGCTGGGCCTCAGCCGTCTGGCAGGATGCTTAGCAGCGATGCCGGACGTAAAAACTCAAAACCTAGAGATGTGTGTGTGTGTGAAGTATACTTAAAACGAATGTAATCTTGTCGGAGCATGAGCTTACCTCGGGCACCTCGACGGCGTTTCCCCTAAACGAGTATCTTGATTAACGTGAATATTAAAAAAAAAACAAAAAAGATTAAAAAGCTCGGTATTTAATGATTACAATTACGAGCTGAGAACGTTAAAAAAATACTGAAATTAGAAGTAGGATAATTAAACACTGCCAGAGGGGAATGGGTTGGTCTCGTTTTGTCCGTGTTATTGATATCTTGCATTAGATAATTAACTCGGCGTACACACTCCATGTTCGTCTTCGTTAAGACAGCTTGAAGCTGGCGATGTTGAGCTTCTAATCTTAATAAATCTTGATTTCATAACTCTGATTAACGGGCTACCAAAACCAAGTGCATATGTAGAAGTCAACTTCACACCAGTCATTTTGTGTTCCAATTTAGGTACTCGGCATGCTCCGTTTTTCAGAGCTAAATCTATTCATCACTCTGTAAGAAGACTGCTCAGTTTCGTTTCTAATTTCGAAAATTTTGAAGAAACATGATATTGTCAAAATTGTAACATTATTTAAACATATAAACAATAGGTATTTTGTTGTACTAAGAAGATGACGCTCAAATTGATGTCGGTTTAACAAATGTGGGTTTTAATAATTAGTGAAATAGTGACAAGTGCGGTTATTCATCGAAGAAACCAGCAAACAGGAGAATTGTGTCCTGCCCGTGGTTTCCTTTTTAATTATAATGAATCCCATTGTAAACTTGTTATCAATATAGGAACATTGAATATTTGAATACTTGGGACAACAAAAGGCAAAATAAAGTCTAAAATGATTCAAGCATTGCGCATAGTACATTGTGGCTTAATTTTATTTTTATTTTTTATTTTGATACGACTTGATTAGGACTGCCCTTTTAACATTCACAGATGGGGATCGCACACGCTTTACAGACTGAAAATCCTGCCATTTCGTCAAATTACTAGATCCGATATGTTTCGACATATATGACACAATCTAAGGTATCAAAGTATATACCTTTTAAAAGCTGTACTATCTACCTTGGCTGAAGGCTGTCTTGTAGGTCCAGTTTACTTGATCAGCCTCACCACGGACAATAACAACCCAGACGCATGAAGCAAGCCTATACGCCCTAAGGTATTGCTATAAAATACATCTTACTTCATAAATATACTGGTGGATGCTTATGCGCACAAACATGCCTGCATCATCCTAGATACAAGAATGGCCGTCACAATGGTGCCTATGATATGAGGACTACATTATGGACGACGAAACGAAAGCGACAATCTATCTGTCGTTACTCTATGCCTACTCATATATGTTTGTATTGTATTGTATTGTATTGTATTGGGTGTGCCGAAGCGCTGCACCGCCGCCGACTACGTTGATGACCACTGAGTGATGAACGACTAGTCGTCGGTTGCGAAACCCGTTTGTTCGGTAACGTTGTTCGTAAATGGTCACGCGCAGACTCCACAACGTTTTACCGAGTGCCAATCGTAGCGCTAGGACAACATATGATGCGGGCAGTCTTGTTCAATGGGACGTATCGGTTGCCTTCTCCAACCAGGCCACTAGGACCAGAAACAGCAGCAGGAGCAATACCAACGATTTAGGCAATGCCACGCCACACAATATTATCCAATTCGTCCTGTGCGCCCCTATGCCATTGTATTGGCCTTAGACTGTCCTACCGGATCTGGTCCGGCCCTTCACTGAACAGTCTTTTCCAGTCCGTTCGACTCCGTTCCATCCTGAATATCGCCAGTTTTCCTGCCCCTTTATATGCACCCTCTATATGGACCAACTGGCATATAGGCCTTTAGGGATGTGCAGAAACGGCAGACTAGGTTTGAGGGGGTAGCACTTGGGGGTTAGATATGGCCAAGGTTGGCTCCTGGACTCCTAGATCTAAGGGCTAGGCACATGCATAGGCGGTGATGTCGCTTTCTCGGCACGTAGTTATTCAAATGAGCGTGCCGTTATTGTTGCTGCGGCTGCTAGTCGGCGGCTCGCCGCAGCAGCTGCTGCTGCTGCTTCTGCGGCGACGCGCAAAACCCACCAACCGCCCCTCAATGGCTGCTCGTACCGCCGATCGTCAAAGCCACAATGCCCACTAGCAGTTATCCAGCATGGGCAGCCGACTGAGAAACGACGAAAGTCGACAGTATGAGCCATGGCCGCCTCGAACCTACGATTTGCCTGCTGTCCGGCTAACACATTTCTGATGTCTCCATGTGCCGTTGCTGAAGCTTCTACGACAGAGTTGTGAAAGAAGAGAAAGTGGGAACGGAGCGCAGCCCGAACTCGTGTTGTGCTGCTACCTGCAGGCCTGTTCTCGAAACTAGCAAAGGCCACAACCACGGACCTATGTGCTTGCCAGCTACGACGAGCTGCGAACGCGAATGAGCTGAGCGGCTGAATTCAAATGCGGGATCACTACTCCTGCTAGCAGCACTTAGTTTTTGCGGGAAGTACTAGTGGGCCATGAGCTGGCTAGCCGACCAACCGATCTCGTCTATTGACGAGGGAACGACCGCGGCTTCGTGATTCGAGGCGACAAGGATAGGGACAAAATCTAGTACTTAGCATTCATAACCGTCGCCGTTTGCCGAGAGCCGTCGAGCATAGGACAGTGAACAATAGAAGCAAAGATATGGCCTTCCTGGCCGGCTTTGCTACGAATGGCCGGACTACATAGAATCGATCGCGGTCGGTTCAGTGAATACACACGCATAAACTA